CCTCATCCCTTCTCCCCGCTGCGTCATTGTCCCGTTTCTCCTTCACGCCTTCCTGTCTCCGCTTCCCTCATGCTTTTGTCTCCCTCACCCCTCATCCCCATGCATCCTTCACTCCTTCCTCTCTCCGCCTCCCCCTTGGAAGACAAGGGTAGAGATCAATCAACCAATCGAGCAACGAATGGTTGATGACGAGGTTTCTGTCAGCATGTTTCGGTGCGATCGCATGAACGCCATCTCGGGCTTGCCACCGGCCAGCGCTTGCTGGGATGATTGAAAATGGATCTCGAGCAGAGCAGGCGATGGATGCTACAGTGAAAAAGGCATATGCAACATAAGATAGACGCAGCATGGCGTCCCGACCGTCAGAAGCTTCACACGTCAAACAGTATATGATGTTTTGCAACGTGCGTACGCCACCACACGCGTGTACGACAAGTCGAATGGGTGACAGGTCAGAGGAACACCCACTCATATACCCAACACTTCGTGCATTCGTCTGGCATCTCATCGTCAGTCCATCTACGAGGTCACAGGCGAACCAGGTACTATCGGATGGGCACATGATGCGCTCGAGTCGGGCGGCCACCCCCAACCAGGCAGACGTGTCCGCATCGGCGCAATCACGGAGACAGGCTGCAATTTGCCTCGCAGATTGCAGACGGGCAAGCTGGCGAACTTCAGAGGACCTGAGGTGCGTCGAGCTCTCCTGAACTAAATCGGCAACTGCCCACATTATCATATGGTCTTTCGGCTGCAGGGCCACGGGCCTCCTGGCCCGGATGTGCTCGATTGCACAGCCAGCCCGTAAGTAGCCCGTAGTAGTTTTGATCAGGACGGTCTGTTGTTGCGCTATGTTCTGCCACCGGCGGGGTCGACACAGCAATTCGGAACGATGTTGTGGCAAGACTCGCGGGAGGTCAAACGAACATCCATTTTTAGGGTGGGAGGCCCAGCTTGGAAAACAGGATCCCCTTTCTTTCAGGGTCTACCCCCCCTCCGTTTTCTCCTGTCCCACGCGTGCCCCAGATCTCCTCCGTCCTCCGTCTCCCGTTGCACATCATTCTCCTTCCTCTCCTCCTTTCTCACGTTCCAGGCCCCGATCGATTGCTCAAGGAGTGGGGAACAGCTACGTTTTGATGCGAAGGCTCGCGGGGTGCTGGTAGGCTTCGCACTGGCGCTACCCACCATTCGCCTCTCAAGACAGCTCCGGAGTGGCAAAGAAGAGCAGAATGCGGGATATAACTGCGAAGGACAATGCAAAGAAGGAGCCGATGAGGAAGTACGTACTTCAGGTATGGTAGCTTTGTCCAATTCTGTAGCACGATGTTCTTGTAACGCAGGCGGGCGTTCACGAAGCGGACCACTGCTAGATACTACGGTAGTTTTGCCCGGAAGATCCTCTGCCCCAGAATTTGTGCAATGCGTTTCTGCCGAGGCTCCAGCACTGGAGGCAGAAGACCTTGTAGTGGTACGGTTTTCCAGTGCTGGCCGTGTTTCCTACTTTCGGCCCCTTTGGAAGAGCCTTTCGCTCCTCCCTTCATGCCCTGAGAGCTCCTTTGCACTATGCCCTCGCATTTCTGGACGAGCTCTTTGAATCTGGGGTGCGAATGCAATTCCTGCCACGTGCCCTACTTATTAGCCCAATTCATTTTGAGATCGCCCCCATCGAGTGTAAGTGTTACGGCAAGCTCCCCGCCAACTTCAACTGAGTAGGGGTTCTGGTCGTCTACCTTTTATAGTGAAGTCCATGCCCATCTTGTTTTTGAGGTAGTACTTGAGCCCGTAGCAGAAGTTGCGGGCTGCCCGTAGTAATGGTGGACGGTCTGGTGTGGCCCACACTGAATTCCCATTCCGAATAAGTTTGGCGCTGCGTAACTGCGCCACTGTGGTATCCCTGTCCTCGGTGTTGCCGAACTCGCAGAAGACGATGTTGCGGAACTCGCCCTTGAAATGAATGTTTCTCCATGCCGGTGCCTGTAGGTGTTCAAATTCCTGTTTTAACCAATCGGACGCCATTTCGAAAGAGGCGAAACCATCCAAATTACCCACCACAGCTGTGATACTTCTTTTATCGCTGGCCGCGTTCCCAACATGACTCTGAGATCCCGTCTGCGACCCTCCGCCCATTAACATTGGAGGGAGCGGAAACGCATGAGGGAAGCGGAGACAGGAAGGCGTGAAGGAGAGACGGGAAAATGACGCAGCGGGGAGAAGGGATGAGGAGAGGAAAGAGAAGGATGTGCAACGGGAGACGGAGAAGAACCAAGAGCAGGAGAGAGAGAGAGAGAGACAAAACAAGAGAAAGAAAGCAAGAGAGAGAGAGAGAGACAAAAAAGAAGAAGAGAGATCAAGGTGAACGGACAGCGAAGGATGGGGAACCGTGAAACGCACTCGGGGGCACGCCAAAGCCTGGGACAGGAGGAAACGGAGGGGGGGTCGAGCTTGAAAACAACAAACTGACTTGAGGACATTCCCTCTTTTCAAGCTGAGCCTTCCCACCACAGTTGGTTCTTTCCCAACCATCCTGAGGTGTTGGGTCCTCGCTTTGAAGAGGCAGTCCCCGCGTTCCTCCTTCCTTCCTCCTCCCCCTCCTTCCTCCTTCCCGTCCTCCTTCTCCTCCACCATCCTCCCCTCCCTGCCTCTGCTCTCGGCATGCCCATCCCATTTCGGCACACCTCTCACACGCTCCGTGGCCCCATGGGAAGCTCCACCTAAGGCCCCAATGGGAAAGTTCGCATGGCACCGCCGCCCCATTTCGGCACACCTCTCACACGCTCCTTGGCCCCATGGGAAGCTCCACCTAAGGCCCCAATTGGAAAGTTCGCATGGCACCGCCGCCCCATTTCGGCACACCTCCCACACATTTCGTGGTCGCATAGGGCGCCCCACCTAAAGCCACAGTGGGAAAATTCGCATGGCACCGCCGCCTCATTTCGGCACACCCTCACACGCTTCGTAGTCCCATGGCACCGCCGCCACATTTCGGCACGCCCGTCACACGCTTCGTGGCCCCATAAGGAGCTCCACCTAAAGCCCCAGTGGGAAAATTTGCATGGCTACGCCGCCCCATTTCGGCACACCTCTCACACGTTTCGTGGCCCCATAGGGAGCTCCACCGAAGGCCCCAGTGGGAAAGTCTGCATGAATACGCCGCCCGATTTCGGCACGCCCCTCACAAGTTTCGCGGTCCCATAGGGAGCTCCACCGAAGGCCACAGTGGGAAAGTTTACATGGTAACGCCGCCCGATTTCGGCACACCCATCACACGCATCGTGGCCCCATAAGGAGCTCCACCCAAAGCCCCAGTGGGGAAGATCGCATGGCACCGCCGCCCCATTTCGGCACACCTCTCACACGCTTCGTGGCCCCGTAGGGAGCTCCACCGAAGGCCCCAGTGGGAAAGTTTGCATGGCACCGCCGCCCAATTTCGGCACACCCCTCACACGCTTCGTGGCTCCATGGCACCGCCGCCCCATTTCGGCACACCTCTCACACGCTTCGTGGCCCCAGAAAGAGCTCCACCGAAGGCCCCAGTGGGAAAGTTTGCATGGCTCCGCCTCCCAATTTCGGCACATCCCTTACAAGTTTCGCGGTCCCATAGGGAGCCCCACCTGAAGCCCAGTGGGAAGGTCCGCATGGCAGCGCTGCCCCATTTCGGCACACACCTCTCACGTTTCGTGGCCCCACAAGGAGCTCCACCGAAGGCCCCAGTGGGAAAGTTTGCATGGCACCGCCGCCCAATTTCGGCACACCCCTCACACGCTTCGTGGCTCCATGGCACCGCCGCCCCATTTCGGCACACCTCTCACACGCTTCGTGGCCCCAGAAAGAGCTCCACCGAAGGCCCCAGTGGGAAAGTTCGCATGGCACCTCCGCTCAATTTCGGTACACCCCTCACACCTTTCATGGCCCCATAGGGAGCTCCAAGACTGGCTCCACTGGCGACTTTCGCAGGCGTCCTTCCGACTCATGTCGGCACACCCTTCACACGTTTCGTAGCAGAAGGCTATACCGCGCGCGCTACTCCGAGTTTGCGCGCCCCCCTCCTTCGTCTCATCTCCCTCGGTGCACTCGCACCTGCATATGGTTGGGTCCTTCGCCAGGCAAATTCAAGCTGGGCCTTCCCACCACAGTTGGTTCTGAAGTCCACTAAGTGCACCCCAAGTTCGCTTAAAGAAGACTCCAAGAGTCCCCCAAGATCTCCGGGAAAACCCTCGACCGGCTCGAATCATTGCAAAACCGAAAGGACATGTATGATTTGTCCTGACCATCTTGTGGTGTCGGGTTCTCGTTTTGAAGAGACAGCGCCCCGCGTTCCTCCTTCCTTCCTCCTCCTCTCCTCCTCCTCCCTCTCCTCCTCCTCCTCCCTCCTCCCCACCCTGCCTCTGCGCTCTGCATGCCCCTCCCATTTCGGCACACCCCGCACACGTTTCGTGGTCCCATAGGGAGCTCCACCGAAGGCCCCAGTGGTAAAGTTCGCATGGCACCGCCGCCCCATCTTGGCACACCCCGCACACGTTTCGTGGTCCCATAGGGAGCCCCACCTAATTAAAGCCCCAGTGGGAAAGTTCGCATGGCACCGCGGCTCCGTTTCGGCATACCCCTCACACGTTTCGTGGCTCGTGGCACCGCCGCTGCATTTCGGCATATGGAGCTCCACCGAGGCCCGAATGGGAAAATTCGCATGGCACCGCCGCCCCAGTCTGGCACACCCCTCACAAGTTTCGTGGCCCGAAAGGGAGCTCAGCCGAAGGCCCCTGTGGGCAAGTTCTCATGGCCTTGCCGCCCCATTTCGGCACACCCCTCACACGTTTGGTGGCTCGTGTTCCGCATTTCCGCCACCGATGCGCTTCCAAGGCTTGCGCATGCCCCCAAGAGCCGCTGGAGACCCCTCTTGGGGACATCTTGGACCTTTTCTGGGGGCCTCTTGGAAGCTCTTGAGGGCATCGCGGCGTTGGCGTCGGCGGCGCGCCGGGCGGGTGCGCGCGCAGGCCCGTCTCCTCCACGCCGCGCGCGCTCCAAGCCTGCGCCGTGCGCGGCTCCGCCTGCGCCGGGCGCCGGGCGCCGGCTGCCAGCGAGTTGGGGGGGGGGTCGCAAAGGTGGGGTGCAATCGAAGCAAAGCCACAAGAGCGTGGGTCGAGAACACGAGCAACTCCGCCGAAGGCGCAACACGTGGGCCCCGTGGAATATCCCAAACCGAATACCATTTCCAAATGGACAACCCAAACACGAAGAACAGAAGGGCACCCCTCCGAAGCGAACCGTGTTCCGAACCCCTGTGCCAGCTGTAGGGGCAGAGGTTTGTTCAAGGAAGCATGGCTGGAAGAAGGCAGTGTGAGCATCCAGCCGGACTCGCTCCCTAGCCCCACCTTGGGGTAACCCCCGCTCTCCGCGTACCCCCGAAAGAAAAAAGCGGCGGGGGAGCAGCGGGGAGGGTGGGGGGCAGGCGGACCAGGGCAGATCAGGGCAGGCCCGTGCCCTTGGACTTCGAGATCCGACGTCACGAACAAATGGAAACATCGTGCAAAAATACGACCGAGTCTCCAGTCTGTGATGGCCCCGGGGCCCCGACCCGGCGAAACCGCCCGGCACGAAAAAAAGGGGGCGCCATGATCTCGAGGGCCCCTCCCGAGCTTGGCTTGCCATAACAGCTCGGGCCCCTGCGGCTGACCCCTGCGGCCGCCCGGGACGGTCCGGGCACCCTCAGACCGCTCCCAAGGCGAGATTTCGGAGGGCACCAACTATACACCAACACCGATCCTGGCCAGGACCACCCTGGGCCCAGGATCGGTGTATACGCCCTCCTGCCTGGGGCAGGGAGGCATATACACCAATCCTGGGCGCAGGAGTGGCCTGGCCAAGATCGGTGTAGGTGTATAGTTGGTGCCCTCCGAAGAAAACGTCCAGCAGCCGGTGATCCTGGGGGGAGCGGCAGGGGGCCCCGCCCCGCCGGCCAGCTTCCGCGGGCAGTCCCGCTCGGGTGGTCCTTTGCCCTCGTTGGCAGCAGCTTGTATACAGTCGGGGCCCTGACCTAAGGAACCCTAAATAAGGAACGAGGCCCCTATTTTCCATAAGTTGAGCTTCGAATTCGTATCGAAAACCTAAGGATAACCTAAGGCAACCTGCGAAACAATTAAGGAACACGGAGCCCCTCCCCAACGAAAAGGGTTCCTTACTTAAGCCGCTCACTGTACATCGTGTGCGGCTGTGATGGGGACTTGGCGCCCGCGGGCTGCTGCCAGAGCCCCGCCTTCCGCAGCCCTTTCCTCTGACGGCGGAGTAACCCTCGGAGTCGTCGCCACCGTCGCCGTGGTCGCCTCGGCGATGGTGGCCGAACTGCGGACCCTCGAATCCCGAACCTCTGGCGTCGTGATTTTGAAGCCGCTCTTCTTGGGACTCTGGGCAGCTCTCTTGCACGCAGACGGGGCTGGCGCTGCGAGGCCCGGAAGGCAGACTGGACTTCCCGCCAGCTGGGGCTCGCTTGCACGCATGTTCGGCCCACCGCTGTCTTGATTGGCGGCGGAGGGGGAGGGGTGGCGGAATGCCATGCAAGCAAACTTGCTAGAGCAACAAAAAACGCACTCGTTGCTCGCAGCGTCTTTTCCCTTGGGAATGGCTTTTCCCGGGTCTTCTGCTGGCTGCCCTGGCGCCCGGCGAAGGCCCCCAACGGGCACGACATCGCGCAACATCTGGCTGCGTTTTTTATTCCCAGCCCTCCTGTGGTGTTGGGCCCTCGTGTTGAGACGGTCCCCGCGCTCCTCCTTCCTTCCTCCCCCCCGTCCTCCTCCTCCCCCGGCTCCTCCTCCTCCTCCTCCTCGTACTCCTCCTCCTCCCTCCTCCCCTCCCTGCCTCTGCTCTCCGCATGCCCATCCCATTTCGGCACACCCCTCACACGCTTCGTGGCCCCGCAGGGAGCTCCACCGAAGGCCCCAATTCGGCACACACACACACACACACCTCACACGTCTCGAGGCCTCGAGGCCCCACCGGGAGCCCCACCTAAGGCCCCAGCCGGAAAGTTCGCATGGCACCGCTTTCGGCACGCCCCTCACACGCTCCGTGGCCCCATAGGGAGCTCCACCGAAGGCCCCAAGTGGGAAGTTCGCATGGCACCACCGCCCCATTTCGGCACACCCCTCACACGTGTCGTGGCTCCATGGCACCGCCGCTCCATTTCGGCATATGGAGCTCCACCTAAGGCCCGAATGGAAAAAATCGCACGGCACCGCCGCCACATTTCGGCACACCCCTCACACGCTTCGTGGCCCCATAGGGAGCTCCACCGAAGGCCCCAGTGGGAAAGTTCGCATGGCACCGTCGCCCCAGTCTGGCACACCCCTCACAAGTTTTGTGGCCCGATAGGGAGTTCCACCGAAGACCCCTGTGGGCAAGTTCTCATGGCCTCGCCGCCCCATTTCGGCACACCCCTCACACGTTTGGTCGCTCATGGCACCACCGCTCCATTTTAGTAGAAGGAGCTCCACCTATGGCCCCAGTGGGAAAGTTCGCATGGCACCCCCTCACCCGCTTCGTGGCCCCATAGGGAGTTCCACGGAAGGATCTAATGACGACGTTCGCAGGCGTCCTCTCGACTCATGTCGGCACACCCTTCACACGTTCCGTGGCAGAAGGCTACGTATACCGCGTGCGCTACTCGGAGTTTGCGCGCTCCCCTCCTTCGTCTCATCTCCCTCGCGGCACTCGCAGCTGCATATGGTTGGGCCCTTCGTCAGGCTAACGTGGTCGCGGGGCGAGGACATCAGGGCTGACCTCTCCTCCCCCATCAATCATTTCTGCTCCTTTCCTGCCCGTGCACCTTCTTCCATCGCTCCCTTTGCCTTCGACCCCCCACCTGCCCCTGGGAGGCTGAAACTAAAAATTTCGCAAAAACGTTCCGCCGTGATTGTTTCGCAGCGAGACAAGGTCTGGGAACCCTTCTGTCGTCCCAGCCCTGACCCGCGTCAGCATCAATCTAGGCTAGCCAGGGAAACATGAGGTCCCCAAGCCCCGGCCAGCGGAGGGCGGGAAGGGGTGGTCGGCTCCATGGGTAGTTTTCAACCCCGGGTCAGCCAGAGGATCTCGGAGGGGATCCCAGACATCCAACTATTTTGTTTGTTCTATGCGGTGCTCCAGAGCTCCCGAACTCTTCCCAAAGAGTGGTTTCTTGCCCAAGATCCATGCTTGATGGTCGCGGGACCAGAGAACGGGCCCCAGGGGAGGCCGAAATGAAGGAACAACGCCCGGACACATCGTCGAAGATCTGGGATCGGCTGGTCCCCGCCTTGGCATGCCCGAACTGGGTACGGAAAAAACTGCCGCTGTTCAGCAGGCGACTGTTTGCCTCAAGTGGACACCGCCCACGGCGACACCGACAGCGACCAAGAACTGCTGGCGGTATTCGTTCCCGGTCTTTCCGTACTCCCTTCGACCGCACCGACCGTTCGCGCTAACCTCTGCGCCAGACCCCCAACGCCAGATGTTTTCACAACGTGGCCCCCCAGAGAGCTTGACCCTGGAGCTGGCGTTTCATCCTAAGTCAGTTTTGACGGTCGCCCCCCGAGCAGGAAAATATAAGGATTTTCGTTCGACGTCGCGAATAAGTTATGCAACATCGTGAAGAGTCACGACAGGGGCTAGATCCCGTTTGCCCGCGCCATTTTTCGAGCCGCATCGACCTGTGAGGATCCCAAGGCCCAGCCAAACAATTACCCCAGCAAAACACCCGAACAGCAGCCCAGACGACAATAGTAGCTGGCATTGAGGCAAGATCACGATTTCTGAATGAACTCCCGCTTGCCAGGGTTGACAAGGCGTGTGGGACATTCAACAATTACTCAATATGAATACTACTCTCCCACTTCCCCCGATGACGGTTTGAAAGTGTCCGACCCCCCCCCCCGTACGGTTTGTTTACACACAGGTTTCCCTGGAATTGGGTTTTCGCTTGCATTTGTTTTCAAAATGCTGCTCTCGCTGAGGCGCCGGCCTCATTTTCGGGCCCCGCTCGTTACGAATCGTGCTCCCGCTGCAGCGCTGGCCTCATTTCCGTGCTTCCGCTCGTTCCGAATCGTGCTCCCGCTGCAGCGCTGGCCTCATTTCCGCGCTTCCGCTCGTTTCGACTCGTGCTCCCGCTGCAGCGCTGGCGTCATTTCCCGTGCCATGCCACGGCATGCAATGCAATGCTAGGTTGATGCTACGCTTTGTGGTGCTCTTCTACGCCATGCCATGCCGTGCTCTACATTGCATCGCGTACCCTTTCGGGATCATTGCCCTGCTCGACATCCGACTGTGCGAGTAGAGAGGGGATCTGCGCCATGGTAAGGGATGGGAGGGAGGGGTAGGATGTCAGATATGACGCGAGCGCACCCAGCTTGGCTGACCCCCTCCCCCTTTCCCCCTCCTCTGAGGTCCAAAATGCAGTTTGATGCCCCCCCCCGCCCTCCCGAGCCCATGAGCTCAGCAACGTTTCTCCCGGGGCTTCTGGGGCCCCCAGGGAGTCCAAAGACGGCCCAAGAGGGCCCAAACAGACCGCCCAGGTAGTCCAAGAGAGCGTCGAGCCAGCCCAGGGGAGCCCCACGACGGACCAAGACGACTCGAAAGCGGCCCACGATGCCTGAAAGAGGGCCCATAAAAGGCTCCCAGGGGACCGCCGAAAGGGGGTCCCAGGAAGCAAACATCGCCTCATCCCCTTGGTAAGACGTGCATTCTTAGGCCCAAGAGAGCGCCAAGAGGGCCCTGAAAAGGGGCCCAATGGGGGGAACACGAATTGACATGTCAAGCCTTTCCCCCGAGATGGCTCCAAGAGACCCCCAGAATCCCCCCAGGCGCCCACAAGAGGCCCCGAGAGGTATCCATGGGGCTCCAAAGAAGCCCTCAAAAGGACATCAAACAAGCCCAACCTGGGGGGTATTGCGCAAGTCATCTGCGCAAGTTGTGAGGATGTCTGAAGCGAAACCGCCGCTGAACCAGGCGGTCAACTTTCTCGCCATAAGGACCCTCTAGCGAAACGCTTCTCGGGAAAGCATCATCGAGTCGCGACTTGAGCCCTGGATCCCATCTTTCTGCCAAATTGTTCAAGCCAGATCGACCTGTGAGGGTCCCGGGGTCCGAAGCATGGCGAAACCGCCCGGCCCGCAAAACTTGAGACGCCAGGGTCTCAGGGCCCACTTCGATCGTTTTTTGTACATACAAATGCTCCTTCTTTTTCCCAAACATCCTGTGGTGTTGGGTGCTCGATTTGAAGAGACGGTCCCCGCGTTCCTCATTCCTTCCTCCTGCCCTCCTTCTCCTCCCTCTCCTCCTTCTCCTTCTCCTCCTCCTCCTCCTCCTCCTCCTTCTCCTCCTCCTCCTCCTCCTCCTCTTCTCTCCTCCGCTCCGTGCCTCTGCTCTCCGCATGCCCATCCCATGTCCAACACACTCACACGTTTCGTGGCCCCATGGGGAGCCCCACCTAAGGCCCCAGTGGGAAAGTTCGCATGACACCGCCGCCCCATTTCGGCACACCCCTCACACGTTTCGTGGCCCCATAGGAAGCTCCACCGAAGGCCCCAGTGCCACCGCCCGCATGCGTCACGCACACCCATTTCGGCACACCCCTCACACGTCCCGTGGCCCCATAGGGAGCCCCACCTAAGGCCCCAGTGGGGAAGTTCGCATGGCACCGCCGACCCATTTCGGCACACCCCTCACACGTTTCGTGGCCCCAAAAGGAGCTCTACCTAAAGTCCCTGTGCCCAAGCTCGCATGGCACCGCCGCCCAATTTCGGAACACCCCTCGCACGTTTCGTGGCCCCATAGAGAGCTCCACGGAAGGACTCAATTGCGACGTTCGCAAGCGTCCTCCCGACTCACGTCGGCACACCATTCACACGTTTCGTGGCCGGAGGCTATACCGCGAGCGCTAGTCCGAGTTTGCGCGCCCCCTTCCTTTGTCTCGTCTCCCTCGCAGCACTCGCAGCTGTAGATGGTTGGGTCCTTCGTCAGGCTAATGTTATATACATAGCTTTGCGAAGGACCCAACCATGTGCAGTTGTGAGCACTGTCGTTGTATGCACCGCATTCGGAATAGCTTCTTATAGGGCCACGAAACGTGGGAGGGGTGTCAGAATTTGTCTGGTGGGCGCATGCGAAAGCAGCCACTGGGGGTGTCAGTGGAATCCCCTATGGGGGCCACGAAACGAATGAGAGGTGTGCCGAAATAGGTGCGGTGGGCGCATGCGAACGCAGCCATTGGGGCCGTCGGTGGAGCTCCCTATGGTGCCGCGAAGCGTGTGATGGGTGTGCCGACCTGGGTGCGGTGGGCGCCTGCGAACGCAGCAACTGGCTTCTTCGGTGGAGCTCCTTGTGGGGCCACAAGACGTGTGAGGGGTGTGCCTAACTGGGTACGCGACGCATGCGGGCGGTGGCACTGGGGCCTTCGGTGGGGCTCCCTATGGGGCCACGAAGCGTGTGAGGGGAACCGACATGGGTGTTTGTGACGCACGCGGGCGGTGGCACTGAGGCCTTCGGTGGAGCTCTCTATGGGGCAGCCAAACGTATGAGGGGTGTGCCGAAATGTGTGTGTGTGTGTGTGTGGCGCATGCGGGCGTTGGCAGTGGGGCCATCGGTGGGGCTTCCTGTGGGGCCACGAAGCGTGTGCGAGGTGTGCCGAAATGGGTGTGCGTGGCGCATGCGGGCGGTGGCACTGTGGCCTTCGGTGGAGCCCCCTGTGGGGCCACGGGACGTGTGAGGGGTGTGCCGAAATGGGTGTGCGTGGCGCATGCGGGCGGCGGCAGTGGGGCCTTCGGTGGAGCTCCCTGTGGGGCCACGAAACGTGTGAGGGGTGTGACGACATGGGTGCGCGTGACCCCACAAGGAGCTCCACCGAAGGCCCCAATGCCACCGCCCGCATGCGTCACGCACACACATTTCAACACACCCCTCACACGTCCCGTGGCCCCACAGGGAGCTCCACCGAAGGCGCCAGTGCCACCGCCCTCATGCGTCACGCACACTCATTTCGGCACACCCCTCACACGTCTCGTGGCCCCATAAGGGGCTCCGCCTTAGCTACCTCAATACGCACGTCTTGATACGCAACAAGTACCGTACTCAAGACGTTTGTGCTAATACGTTGCGTGTCGGCTCCACGTATTGGACCACGTTTCGGCGAATGTATCGCGTCGGACCCACGTATTCAGGATACGTGTTGGGCTCCGTATCAATGCGCTACGTGTTGCGTGTTGCGTATCGGGGCGGCTAAGGGCTCCACCGAAGGCGCCAGTGCCACCGCCCGCATGCGTCACGCACACCCATTTCGGCACACCTCTCAGACGTCTCGTGGCCCCACAGGGAGCTCGACCGAAGGCGCCAGTGCCACCGCCCACCGAAGGCTCCAGTGCCACCGCCCGCACGCGCCACGCACACCCATTTCGGCACACCCATCACGCGTTTCGTATGCGGGCGGTGGTACTGGGGTCTCCGGTGGAGCTCACTATGGGGCCGCGAAGCGTGTGAGCGGTGTGCCGAAATGGGTGTGCGTGACGCATGCGGGCGGTGGCACTGGGGCCTTTGGTGGAGTTCCCTATGGGGCAACGGGACGTGTGAGTGGTGTGCCGAAATGGGTGTGCGTGACGCATGCGGGCGGTGGCACTGGCGCCTTCGGTGGAGCTCCCTGTGGGGCCACGGGACGTGTGAGGGGTGTGCCGACATGTGTGTGCGTGACGCATGCGGGCGGTGGCACTGGGGCCTTCGGTGGAGCTCCTTGTGGGGCCACGGGACGTGTGAGGGGTGTGCCGAAGTCGGTGTGCGTGACGCATGCGGGCGGTGGCACTGAGGCCTTCGGTGGAGCTCCCCGTGGGGCCACGAGACGTGTGAGGGGTGTGCCAAAGTGAGGGGGGTGGACGGGGGGAGGGAGGAGGGAGGGGAGGAGGAAGGAAGGAAGGAAAGAAGGAAGGAAGGAAGGAAGGAACGCGGGAACCGTCTCTTCAAAACGAGGACCCAATACCACAGGATGATCGTGCCGACAGTTCGCGTTGACCACCGCCGCGCGCACAAGCAGTGAGCGAGGGGAGGGGCGGTTGTTTTCGGGCCAGAACTCGGGTCTCACGCGGCCTTTTGTGACGAATCGGCGCCCCTGGAACGATCTGGGCGAGGCGCAGCTGTTGGAACGCATCCCGAGGCGAGAAAGCCCCTCAGACGAGGGCGAGGGCGAGGAGAACGAGGGCAAGGAGGAGGACTCTGCTGACGCCGCGGGCGTGGTGCCCCCAGCGCTTGGCAAAGAAAGAAGACTCTGCGCCATGACCTTCTCACCTGCGTGCCCGAGCAGTGCGCGGAGGGGCTAGGGCTGCGCCTGGCCCGCCTCTCCGCGGCCGTCTGGCGCGGCCCGCCCAGCGGCGCTGCGCGGCGGGCTGGGCGCGCCCTGCTCCTTGAAGCACTGCCGGAGGGACTCCGACCGGGACCTGGTCGGGGGAGCGTCGAGAGCGTGCTGAATCTTGCAGGTCCGCGCGGATGTCTGGGATCGGCGCCGGAGTCGCCGCTGGGGGGCCCAACGCCGATCCGATCCGATAAATCCGCACAGGCCTCCGACAGTGAATGCTTGTGCCATTGCCACTGCTTGTTCCCCGAAACCTCTTGTTCATAATCTGGCAAGATTACTTGCATGGCATTTCCCCAAACCCACTCCGCCGCCTTTTCAAACAGCGCTGTGCCGAAGAGGCGTGCAAAAGATGAATTGCTGACGCTTCGCGAATCCCCACCAGCCCATCCAGAAACGATGCCCAGAGGAATTGCCTCGATCAGGGAAGTGGGCAGCACACAGAGGAAGCCATTATGAGACATCTTGGGCTATCTTGAGCCATCTTGGAGGTCATCTTGGGCTCTCCCAGGCGCTCTTGGAGTCATCTTAATCAGTGCCCCCCCAAGAGGCCAACATGTGGCAACAAAAAAAATCTGTAAAATCAATGATTTGGCATTATCGCCAAACCCTCTTGGAGCATCTTGGGTGCCTCTGGGGGGTCTTTTTGGGCCTCTTGGGGGTCTCTTGGGAGCCTCTTGGGGGCATCCTGGGGGCCTCTTGGGGCTTCCTGGCCACCTCTTGGGGCCCTCTTGGGGCACCTTTGGGAGCCTTGGGGGCACTTTTTGGGCCATCTTGGGTGAGATAGATCACAGGAAGGGGGGGTGCTAATTACAGCCCCCCCAAGATGCCCAAATGGGACCAACACCATAGTAAAACTAATGATTTGTACTTTCTCGCCGAGGCCGTTTTGGACGCCCTGACACCTCGCGACCACCCCCGTCCAGGTCCAGGGGAGGGGGTAGGGGGAGGGGTCAAGTTACCCCCTCCCCGCCCGCAAGCCGTCTCGCTCACTCCCACCCGCCCTCCCCACACATACGTAGCACCCGAGTCTGGTCCGAGCCTCAGCATATTCAGCAGTCGTCTTGGGATGGGCAGCTACTGGGGGCCAATCCGCCGCCGCCGCCGCCGCCGCCGCCGCCGCCGCCGCCGCCCCCCGTTGCCAAACCGCCGCCGCCGCCGCAGCCGTTCCCGCCACCGCTACCGCCCCCGCCGCAGCCGCCGCCGCCACCGCCGCCGCCTCAGCCGCCGCCGCCGCCGCCGCCACCGCCGCCGCCGCCGCCCCCGCTGCCAAACCGCCGCCGCCGCCGCAGCGGCTGCCGCTGCCGCCGCCGCCGCCGCCGCCGCGCCGCCGCCCCCGCAGCCGCCGCCGCCGCCGCCGCAGCCGCCGCAGCCGCCGCCACCGCCGCCGCAGCCGCCGCAGCCGCCGCCGCCGCCAAGTGTACTCTGTATTGTTTTTTGACAGGGATGTTGGGGGGGGCCGCATCGGGTTGGCTGCGCAGGTTCCGAATTTGGAGGCAGAGTGTGTTTTATATTGTATTTTGCAAGGGATGGTGGGGGGGGGGTCGGCATGGACCCTGGTTGGCCCCCAGTCGCCTGGCGGAGGGGGTGTTTATTAATAGAGAACAATGATAAACCCCTCCCCGAAGGGGAAGAAGGAGGGGTGGAAGAGGAAACGCTCCAAACCACCGACGCCCAGAGGGCTGATGGGACTTCGACAAAGCCCTGGTTGGGAGAGCGTCGGCTGACCGATTTGACACATGGATGAGCGTGGGGGCTGCTATCGGGAGTGTCCACGAGGGGCCGTCCAAGAGGAAGGGTCGCAGATCATGGCCCGAAACATGTGAGCGGACAAAGGGGAAACCGGGGGACGTATTGGAAGTATTGAAAGAAGGAGAGGGGGCCGTGAGATCAAGCAAGATTTCATGATATTCCCCTTGACTCGTCCTCTAGGACGCCACCGATGCTAAGGGGATCGGGGGGTTCTCAGCAGATGCCAAGGTGGGGTTTGGTCTGGCCTTAACTAGCCTAGAAGTGGGTTGCGAGTGCCTTGGGTGGCTTGCGGAATTCACGATCGGGAGGGGGTCCGTCGGCTGAGAGGGAGTTCTTCTATCCGGCCGCTCCCGCCCTGCGGGTTGGGCCGTGCGAGACCTCTCTGACAAAGTGTTCGGCACTATCTTTCCCCTTCCTTCGCCAGTGGCTGGTCAAAGTCCTCCTGAAAGTCCCTCCGAAGGGGCCCTACTCTGCCGGCGGATCCCCCCTCCCTGAACAGTTCCGGCGCCCGGGGGCGATTCAAGAGCGCCCTAAAACGGGCCAAGAGAGCCCCAAGACGGCCCAAGCGAGCCTCCAGACGGTTCCAGATCGCTCCAAGACGCCTAAGATGGCCTCCAGACGGCCCAAGACGCCTCCAAGACGGCCCAAGAGGGCTCCAAGAGCACCCCCAAGACAGCCCCGAGAAGCAAAAATCATGGATGTTTCAATGGTTTTTGAAGGATTTACACGTTCACGCCATTTCGGCTTACCCACGCTCCACGACGGCCCAAGAGGCCCCCCAGATCGCCCCAGGACGGCCCAACAGGCCCCCAAGACGGCCCCAAGACGGCCCAAGAGGGCCCCAAGACCGCCCAAGAGGCCCCCGGAACGGCCCAAGAGGGGTCCCAGGATGGCCCCAAGAGGAGGCCCAGAAGGGGTACCCGAATGAACATGTCGAGCTTTCGGCTCGAGAGGCCCCCAGGAGACCCTAAGAGGCCCCCTGGAGGCCCCCAACAAACCCCAAGAGAGCCCCAAGAGGCCCCAAGAGGGCCTCAAGAGGTCTCCAAGAAGCCCCTGGGACGCCCCCAAGAGGCCCCTAAACTGCCCCGCAGAAGCCTCCGAGAGCCCTCTCGAAAGACCCCAGGAAGCGTCCATGAGGACTCCGTCCGACCCAAAACCCAAGCACGGTGGCGGGATGGGGCGACGGCTATTTGATAGCTGGCATACGCGCCGCGTCACGACTTTCGATGCTGCGCACCTCTTCGAAAAACTCCCAGGGAGCGGCCGGTGATGCGCCGCCGGCGTCCTCGATAGACTCTGACAAGTTTGCTTGCATGGTGGTGCGGGGGGGTCAGGGCGAGGTCCGAAAAGAAATTTGGACCTCACGCAAGTCTCGACTCAGTTGCACGCCTTGTCGGTCCAGCTCTGCTTGAAGCGGCGGCGAAGTGGCCCCTCTCCTGGAATCACTGGCTGCAGGAGTCTCGAATAAAAGGGATGTGGCCCAGTGCGAAAACTACAAACCCATTTCCCTGACGGCTATTGTCTACCGGGCTTGTGCTTGCACTTGGCGCACCCAATTTGGTTTCAAGTGCAAGCGCAGCTCCGCGGACACCATGTGTTTGGTGAGGAGAACTCTTGAACGAACTTGGGCCGAGAAGGGCGGGCAGAAATCATTTTGCTGGCGCTCGATTGGGCGAAAGCCTTCGACAGCATCTCCCTAGAGTCTCTAGCATGAGCTTTTGTCAGGTTCGGCATGCCGTCGAAGTTCGTGGAGGTAGTGCGGGCGATGTACCAGGAGCGCAGATTTGGCGTCCAGGACGCGAACTCGACCGCGGCACCGAAGACGCAAGGCTTCGGCATGAGCAAACGGTGCCCGCCGTCGCCCTTCCTTTCCGCGATCATGAGGGCAGTGTTGCTTCGAGACGCGAAGGAGGAAACAGGGCCAAAGCTGGACTTCTCCAAGACAGTGCAGCAATTGGCGCACGCCGACGACACGCTGCTCTTGTCTGGCGAGTCTGGTCCGCCGACGGCACACCTGCGCAGTGCCGAGAGGGTCGGATCGCAGTCGGGCGGAAGCCAAAGTTGCGCAGTCTGAGAATTCTTGCCTCTGGATGCAATGCGAACGTCCCGGGGCCAAACGGTTCTTTGGGTCCCGCAGAAAAGAGACATCTATATCAACAGATATACATATTCAGTCAGTTATGTTTCGAACGACGGAAAGGTTGGGCCCGAACTCTTACATCGACCCGGTGCCGCCGCACGGGGGGAATTCGACACGTTGGGGCGAGTGTGCGGCCATTCCACGTTGACGCAATCAAGAGCGCTTGAGATCTTCACGCATGCATTCCCAATCAACTTTTGTATTGTCAGTACGGCATTATTGAGCCGGGCGGAAACGAAGAAATTCAACGCCTTGCGTGAGATGCGCATATCACATTCATACATTAGCCTCGTGACAAATTCATCCAACAACAGACAGGCGCTAACCCGCTGAACAATACCCTAATGATCCATCAACTGCTGCTCCTGGGGCATATCGCACGTACCCTGGCTGTCAACAGCCAGCTGACGATCCAGTCAGGGGTATTGTCCTGCGTCCTTTTTTCATGCGAGCTACCAGCGCAGAGCTTCAAGCGGAAGCGGGGACGCCCCAAACACGCGTGGACCGAATGAATTATAGCCCACGCCATCCCGGCCGCAAGGGATTAGGATGCACTGCTGGGGCTCTGGCAAGACAGCGAAATTTCTGCCGCAGCCTGGCGTGCAGCCGTGATGCGATATTGCGACGCCCTGTGAGGCCACGCCATTTGTGCCCATGTGCTTTGCCTCAGCTTCGTCCACCCATCCTGGAAGCACTGCTGGAAAAACTCCAACTGGGCCCTGGTCAGGGGGGCGTCGGCTGACCGCCCTGAAATTTTCCTGAGATCTTGGCGTTGCAAATTTGTCACAACAACGAACGTTTATGCGAGGTTGCGGGCCCGGGGACCTTCACAGATCGATCCGGCTGGACAAATACTAGAAAGATTGGGTCTTGGCCGATGGTCACGATTTTTTGGCGATGTTGTTTTTTTTCGCCACATCAGATCTCAGGGCACTTGGATCGGCGCGGTGAGAGCTGAGGGGATAAGGGGGTGTACCAGCGGATGCCAGGGTGGGCTATATCTGGCATGGCTAGCTGACAAGGCGGGGTACAAGTGCCCTAAGTGGCTCCGAGGGAAGACAAACTGGATTAAGTGGGCACCGCCCCCTTAGCGGAGTTATCTTACCGTTCCCAAAGCCTCTCAGGGCACGTGTAACCTGTTGGTATGCTAGGCGAAGCCAGATATGACCCACCTTCACATCCACTTAAAGACG